AAGAGATACCAGTCGAGTGCGCGAGCTCAAATACAGTTCGAAAGAGAGGCGAATTAGCGCATATTGAGCGTGCGAATATCTTATTGCAGACAGTCTCCGAATGGGACGATGCCAATCTTCACCGCTAGAAGGAGCCCGTTTATCCTAGCTCCTATTTTCCGGAAAGTATCTTCAGAGTACAACGGCCGCCCTTAGTTGTTAGGTGTTGAGATTTCTCTGAACTTCAACTATGGGCGGTTTATTGAGTCCAGGACCAAATCATCCGCAAGAAAACTAAGTGTCTTAGCTATGGGGAGTGCTGCAAAATGTCATCAAGCAGCGTTCAACTCAGTGGAAAGACGTGCTAAGAACTTTATTTGTAGCCTTGATTTGGTTGATATCAATCTTGCCAACCTCTCAGTATTCTATGGGAAGCTTTTCGGAGAGTGTGCGCAGGAGTTACATGCTTTAATTCATTAATTTTGAAAATTACATTAATGAGCATAAAGATAAGATGAATACATTTCAGACATTAGACAAATATTATAGTAAATTTAAGACAAAATATTGTCTTTCAGAATAAATAAATTTATTTAAGAACTTGTAAAAATATTTAAAATATTGTTACGAGCTTGAGGTTCGTGACAATAAAAATTGCCGATAAAATTACCTAAATTAACACTTTAATTTACTTTACACAAATTAAAACTTAAAACACTAATTTCACTTTATTCCGCTCCGAAGCTTCGCTTGTTTCGCCACTTCAATACTGCCTCGATCGCATCTTGCAGCGCCTATTTATATAAATTAGCAAAGAATCATCCGGAATATTCAAGTAAATGCGCGCAAAGGGACGAGTGTGCGAGTGTAGATTTTCTAGAAACAAAGTTCTTCGGATGGCGCTGTCGGTTGAGTGATTTGTGAAGTCATTTTCTCAATGCTCCCCTCGCTCTCGTTCCTGACACTAGATGGCGCTAGTGTATCGTCGACTTGAGCGCGTAACAATATGATAAATAATAGAAATACAAGTCGAAAATATTATAAAAATAAAGATAAATAACATTTATAAGATAATTAGAAAATTTGTTAAAAAATGTTTATAATATATACTGTAATAATTGTGTAAAAGTTAAAAAGTCACGGAGGGAGTTCGTGTATAAAAGAAAATTTTGCCAAGTTATGGAAAGTGTTCGTGTATAGATGGCTTGTATGGAGGAGCTACCGGAGACGTATACCTACTGTTGTACATATACTAGTCCTATATTAGGGACTTATGATAGTAAACTCAATTATATACAAAAGCAATACTATAGGTCTCTATGACGAATTTGCATTACAATAGTAGGGTCGTCGGTTGAAGACCTATATATTAAAGACTTATGAAAGTTAGGTCTATGATACAAAAGAAATACTATAGAAGGTCTCTATGATGAATTTGCATTACAATAGTAGGGCCGTGGGTTCAAGTCCTATATATTAATGACTTATGAAAGTTAGGTCTATAATACAAAAGAAATACTATAGAAGGTCTCTATTTTGAATTTGCATTACAATAGTAGGGTCGTGGGTTCAAGTCCTATATATTAAAGACTTATGAAAGTTAGGTCTATAATACAAAAGCAATACTATAGAAGGTGTCTATGATGAATTTGCATTACAATAGTAGGGTCGTGGGTTCAAGCCCTATATATTAATGACTTATGAAAGTAAGGTCTATGATACAAATAACATTATTATAGAAGGTCTCCTTGATGCATAAGCATTATATAGGGTGGTCGGGTGACTGACTGCTCTACTGTAGCAAAATGACTAGGTAATCCTTTATTAGAGGCTTGAAAAGGATTATTATGGTGGCGCGTATGCTGCTTCACGCGCAATTGGTCCGAGGTAAACTTGGACTTGCTAACCGATGTGTCCTAGACATATCATCTTAGTGCCGGTGGTAAGCGGGTTTGTTGTAGCAATACGGCTTTCCCGTGGACATCGCATACCCATACCGTTTGTGGGCGGCGTCATAGCGCATAGCGATGCGGCGTCTATCTTTCGGATTGGGATGAGTGTGTTTGGTAGCACTTTTAAGTGTAGGTAACAGACATACTCAACTTCATGTCTTAGTGCATTAGCGCTATGGTACGTGGAGTTTTGTTCGCTGGCGTCTTAGTAGCGTGCTACTATGATACGTTGGTGATATTTTTTAGTTAACAACAATACAAACTTTGTTACCAAAGTCGATAGGGATCATGTGGGTGTGTCGTGAGGGGGCGCCATCCGTATGATATTTGCATTGATGCTTACTGCTACTTGCGGCATTGCGTCTTGTGATGGATCTGCGGGTGTGCCGCGCCTGATTCTACGCACTCTTGTGGTTCTGGTCGATGGAAGTATGCGGGTGGTGACATCTGCTGAGATGTATGGGGGATCTTGGGATGGTGTAAGCCCAACGATAGTCGTATTGATGCTTGTTGCGTTCTGCAGCATTGCGTCTCTGCGATGGTTGTTTGGTGGGACGCTATTCTCAATGGCGCTCTCTGCGTCTTGGTTTGACTCACACCTAAGTAGCTTTGCCCATGTCGGGCCCCTTCATTACGGGGCTGTAGACTGTCTGACATCCATGATGTTTTATATAACAACATAATAATATATCTCTGTAACTTTTCCACCTTTGAATGATTGAAGGCAACTTGTTGGTGGGTGAGACCAACATAATCGAAAATGCATTTACTCAACGTCAGTGACACAAAACTTTTCTGATGGCAAATTATTACTAACATCTTATAACTGCCTTTTGGCTATATCTGCCGTTGTATTGGTTAGTGGAGCATATGTGTCGACCCTAATGCGGGTGGTAGCTCAGCTCAGGCGGGAGGATCTGAGGAGACTCTCAAGGCTGCGGCCGAAAGCCGCACAACATGGGACCCCATTCCCTTGAGGTGAACGGTAGACTCATGACACACTCTGCGGCTAGTAGCCGTGCTGATCATGCAATTGGTGGTGATGCCATACACTTACGTCACGTCTGCAGGAGCGGCGGTCTGGCAGGTGGTAGCGCTCACGGAGGGTTTATGGCCAGTGTGCCTATTTGCCTAAACCGTGTGACGTACATTCACTGTGGCTGGATTCGTTCGTATTCTGTATGGCGTTTACACGCATTGACATGCGCGACTTCGGTCGATGTTTGTGTTTACGCACTAACAAGGGGCCAAGCCTCTTTTACTGGTTCGCCAGTTATTTTGCTGTGGAATACGTTCCGGTTCCCGACTTAGCGTTCCCTTCGGGGGGAGTGCATCAAAATGGTTGGCGCTCACCGCGCACGGCGTGTGTGGGGCCGTGTGCCTCCCCTACATTTTTTTTAAATAAATGTAGGAGAGTAAGCCCTTGTATCGGGAATTTTGTATAAATATATCGTGAGCCTTTTCCAAGCGGAAAGGGATAATTAATAATAAATTTATAATGTAAACCTGATACAAGTGGAATATGGACGTTTTATGTTCTTAACCTTTCTCGAGCCCTGTCTTCATGAACGGGGTTCACTTAGCTTATAAAGCACTACCAACAGCTTTCAATTACTCTAGTGAATATTCATTCTTTCCAAAGACACCTAAAAGAACTAAGTTACTAAACAAACACAACGTAAATAAGGGTCCTAACTAAAACGATCACACCAAAATATTACAAATGGCATATTATTAAACCTTTTGAAAGATCATTTAGAAATATCAAAACATATTTTATTTGTCCTGGTCACAAATATATAATTTTATTTAAAAGGGGTAAATTAATTATATATAATATAGGTATTTATATATAAAGAGAGAGGGGAGCCTTACAGTATGATTACAATTTTGATGTCTTTAAAGCAAATGAATAGGCTTTTGTTATGCTAAAACAGTGTGATTTACCATGTAACGCTTTATCACCACATGAGAAGCACCAGCTTTCAAATAAAAAAAGAATCATCAGTCTAGACAAAAGTAAAATTAAAGTCGAATTGAATACTTCCTCCTTTTTGAAATTGGTCAAAATGAACAGTATTTAAGATAGATTACTAATAATAGAAGTTCTTTAAAGATTATGATGTAGAAATTTAAATGAATTACTTATTTTCACCTTTGGTTATTCAACAAAATTGACATAAATGAGTGGAACAATTAAAAATAAACTGAGTAGGCTTCTTACTTTATTACTTACGTGTTGCTGAAATAGGATTATTTTTCTAATATATAAAAATTTATGCTTGTTTGTTCGTATTTTACGTGAATATATATCATACCATTCATCAGATTGCGCAAAACGTTGTCAACTTATTGTTTGGGCTTGCGCGAAGGTTATAGTCATTTAACTTACAGAAGATGGCGCGAATATTGTACAGACTTATTTGACCGTAATTTCTCAGTATTTCTGTTAGATGAGGTAGAACTAATATTTTTTTGTAATCTAGATTGTAAGGAATAAATTGACATGCATCTTATTAAGTTAGGCCACAATTTGTGGTGTGTCCATTCTCCGAGAAATTGTCTCATTTAGGGACATTCACTGGCAGATAGATAATGTTTTATGGAGTAACTTAGACTACTTTTATTTTAGAAAAAGGGTTAGGGTTCATGCAAAAAAATCCTGAAATCCAATCGTAATTAATTTCATGTTGCCAAAGTCGCGGTGAACAGCTAGTTACATACATAATTAAAGCGAAACGACATTATTTAGAAAGGCCACAAATACAAATATGTACATGTCATTTGCTGGAATTTAAATATATTGAATTAAGTAGTTTGTCACTCCAATGTTAATAAAAAATTATTGCCAAGTGTAATATAATATTTTAGGACAGGACCAACAAAAATAAGATATATCCATCATAAAAGTTTGATTTGAATATTAATTTATAGTACATATTGTACAGTTGAGTTAAATAATACAATAAAGATGCACAACAAAAACATTTTATTATATATTGAATAAATTTAAGAAATCATTACATTTTATTACATATCTACTAGACTAAATAAAAATCACATTATAAATTACTTTTTTGTAGCAGATGGTTGTGGTAGTCTAAATTTGGCCATTTCTATTTCAGCTTCAAAGTAACTCATATTGTCATAGCAAAAGTATTCGGGAACTTTGTAAGCCCCGTTTTTGCTGGGATCAACACCTGGGCCGACTGGTTGTGACGATGGATGTATCACGGCAGAACTAAGTCCTGGTACATTAGTATTTATTACAGCTGATGGAGACGCAAAAGATGAACCTTGAGTTTGACTTGAACTCTCGGAGTAACGTCTTCTAAATGTTCTCCACAAATAATTTCTTAGCGCAGAGCGTGCTATCATTTTTATAGTTACACAATCTTTTAGTGAGACAAGAGACAAACGTCAGTTTCTCTATCTAGTCTGTGCAAGAGACTAAAAAATAACAATGACAAATGACAATGGCAATTGGCAATTTGGATCAATCACTTTTTTTTTGGAGTTTATGGCCTGGTATCTAGACCTTTAGAGATCAATCATATGAAGCGACTGACCATAGATAATTCACTATCCTAGTCATGAAGGTTAGAGAACAGGTGAACGATCGCCGTAGAAAATAGTGTCCCAGAAATATGGACACCATAAGTGAGGCGCTGCGATCACTAAGTTCGATCAAAAAGTCATTTTCAGTCTATTTTTCCGATCAGATGCTAAACCACTTGCACATTCACGCACAATAAAATATTTCTCTATTTTTTAATGTTTCTTTTGTCAAAAATTACAAAATTACGGAGCATGAAAATTTTCTCATTAAAAATTAAATGAAAATTTGTACATTATTCAACTAACTTCATCTACTTGTACTCATAAACAGCTAACTTCGCAGATACTACTTATCGACGTCAGCGCGGCTATAAATTCTACAAATTTTCAGGGACAGGCGGGCTACGCTTTAACACGTAGCGATCGTTCTCTTTCTCTCTGACCTGCATGAGCGCGGCTATAAATTCTACAAATTTTTCGGGGACAGGCGGGCTATGCTTTAGTTCATAGCGATCGTTCTCCTTCTCTCTAACCTCCATGATATATAATAAGAAAAAATTTCTTATATCTATGGTCACAGAGTACTTTCTGTATATGTATAGCAGCACCAGTCAGTTAGTCGTAGAAATTTTTGTCTTATTGAAAAGATCCGTGGTAGTTCAATTGGATAGTTCTCATTGTAAATTCCACAGTACTCGAGTAACCCTAGTTCGATCCCCGTCGCGATGGCATTTTTTTTAAATTTGTTAAATTTGCCAAACTGTTAATTTGGAAGTTTAACAGGTGATTCACAACGTACTCGACGGTGAAGTGCTAAAGACTACAGCGTCATCTAGCGTGCAGGGTACACTATTTAGAAAACTGAAATGTGAGTGGCCCAACTATCTCTGGTCAAGCCTCTGTCACTCTTGCTACCTGCGTGAAATAATTACCTAAAATTGCGACGCACTCAGGGCACAGACTAACTACCTAAATGACTCAGCGTGAAATACGCAGTCGGGGCTAGCGCGATGTAGGTGATTGAATGTTAAAGATTTTTAACGCTGTTTACGTAAATACTTGTTGAAATAGTTATTGTTTAGTGTTTAGTATATTTAATTGTAGGATAAAATAGTTAAAAAGTTTTAATGTTATTTAAAAATTATATATATTTATTATGTATATTATCCAACTATTTGATAAATTTTGATATGGCAAAACGTCGTTCCTACTACTATAATGGAGAAGATAACCATTTTTTGTTTTATATACCAAAAAATCTACAAAAAATTACGAGAAAAACCATGTTTTTATTTTTTTTTTCTATCTTCAAAACTGACCGAAATATAAAGGCGCAAAGTTAACATTTTCGGTCTAAGCCGCGGGCCGAGAGCGACATCGTTGATGACTTCACGATTTCCATCTTCGTGCGAGAGACCCGACGCGCACTTAGAAAATCGAAACATTTACTCGAATGTGCCCGTCGCGCGCGGATTTACTTGCTATATATTTTTAACAAGAAATATTATAGAACATCAACCATCTATTAAATATTGTGCTGTGTCTCAATGTAAAAATACGGCCACAAAAACACCTGAAGAATTGTTTTTTAATGTGCCTAGAAACCCTACCTTCAGAAATAAATGGACAAATGCTATGAGAAGAGCACATCCATTAGGACCAAACACGGTAGCATATTGTTGTGAGGATCATTTCGATGTAAGTATTCAAATAATAATAATCTTCACATTTTTTTGGTTTTATCGGTTTATTTATTTTTGATAGCTCTTGGTTATTGGTAGTAAATGCTTTTTATTAGGCATGTTGGTACCTACTCGAGTCGCAGTGTTTAAGGAACTAACGATTCATTGAACCTTTCCACGCTTAATGATCATTATAATTTCAAGAAGAAACAATACCTAATACCTACATATTTAACTAAAACTAATTCAGTGTAAATAAACATCCAAACTTGGGTAAAGTACTTACCTATGTAATGTAGATAAGTCAATGACCTGTCGTGAGTTCGTAAGTTTAGATACCTACCTATATATGCAGCAAATTTTAAAATGTTTATAATGCATATAAAGGTTAAAATATTGTTACGCTCCTTAGTCGACGGCACTAGCGCCTAGTTGAAACTCGAACTCTCGGTACCTTGCGCGTATTTACTTGAATATTCCGGATGCTTCTTTGCTAATTATATATAAATAGGCGCTGCAAGATGCGATCGAGGCAGTATTGAAGTGGCGAAACAAGCGAAGCTTCGGAGCGGAATAAAGTGAATTAGTGTGTTTAATTATTAGTGTTTTAAGTTTTAATTTGTGTAAAGTAAATTAAAGTGTTAATTTAGGTAATTTTATCGGCAATTTTTATTGTCACGAACCTCAAGCTCGTAACAATTGGTGTCAGAAGTGGGATAAAATCATGCCGATTTTACCTAAGGAGGAAACGGAGGGTGTCCGTACCCGAAGTCAACGCCAGCAGGAGACGGACCAACGAAGATTTGGTGGTGCAACGCCGCAGACGACGGAGGGTCAGCCGCTGGCTGCAGGCCCGTCAGTAGCTCCTACATCTGCAGCAACTGACTTAGGTGCTCTGATGGTGATGCTGCAGGAGCAGGTTCGCCGACAGGAGGAACAGGTTCGTCGGTTGGAAGAGCAGCTGCGGGGCGGACAGGATGAACGGGCCCGTTGGTTGAAAGAGCAGCAGGAGGAACAGGCTCGCCGACAGGAGGAACAGGCTCGCCGAGAGGGGAACAGGCACGCCGATTGGAAGAGCAGCTGCGGGGCGGACAGGAGGAACAGGCCCGTTGGTTGAAAGAGCAGCAGGAGGAACAGGCTCGCCGACAGGAGGAACAGGCTCGCCAGCAGGCGGAACAGGCACGCCGATTGGAAGAGCAGCTGCGGGGCGGACAGGAGGAACAGGCCCGTCGGTTGGAAGAGCAGATGCTCCTCATGAAGGACCTTCACGCTACCTTCGGGAAGGAGATAAAGGAGGTGAAGGATAGGGTTGCTCAGCATGACAACCGCCTGTCGGAAGCTGAAACCCAAATCGCGAAAGCTGAAACCCGAATCGACTAAGTAAACAATCGGGTTGACAACGTAATGGCTGGCATGAAGAAATCACTGGACGAACTCAAACTTGGAGAGGGAGCTACAGCTCCCGTAGTAGCTACAACACCTTCGCTACGCGGGTTCAAGGTGCCACCGTTCGATGGTACCTCTTCCTGGTCAGCCTACAAAATCCAGTTTGAGGCTGTTATGAAGGCGAACGGCTGGAATAAAAGTCAGGCCATGACTGCTCTCACACCAATTTCACACTAATTAACAGTTCTGGAAGCTCTCGGTGAGGAAGTGACTTATGAGCAACTTCTTGAGGCGTTGGAGGCGAGATATGGTGACGCTCACCTGGAACACGTCTTTCGTGCGCAGCTTAAAGATCGCGTGCAGCGCATCAACGAAAACCTGCAGGAGTGGGCTCTAGAGGTGGAGAAGCTGGTGCGAAAAGCATACCGGTCTGTACCTGCGCTCATTGAAGGGAACCTGGTTCAGACATTCATCGACGGCATCCGCGACCTGGAAGTCAGAGCTGCTGTGAGGCTCGGGCACCACGAGACGCTTAAGGGCGCCTTGGCCCATGCACTGGATGTGGAAGCCGTGCGGCAGGATCGTCGTTCCCATCGCGTCAGGGAGATTGCAGCAGCTACAGTTCGCGACCGCAACAAGGGATACAGCCCTAGGTGCTATCGCTGTGGGGAAAAGGGCCATCTTCGATCCAGCTGCCCTAAGCGAACCGCAGAAAGGGAAGGTGAACGATATCAGGAGGGTAGTGCGGCCAACAGCACCACCCAGCAGTAGCAGGGAAACGAGTAAAAGCCAGAACTGCGGAGCGAGTGCTGGCTGATGTTAAAAGAGCCCCAAGGATCTCGATCTCACAAACTCACGATGGGAACAGTCCAATCATCAAGGGCGAGATCAACGGAATGCCGTGTAAACTGACCATAGACACTGGAGCCTCTCGTACGGTTGTTAGTTCCCAACTAATAAGTCAGTTCCTTGGGGACTCCGCATACAACCGAGAACGCATTAATTTGGTAACAGCCACCGGTCAGCGTATACCCGTCCGTGGAGAGAAAGAGATGGAGTTGAAGCTAGGCAACATGATCTACCTGCATAATGTCATCGTGGTTGATATAATGGACGACTGCATCCTGGGCCTAGACTTCATGAGGAAGAATTGTTGTGCGATTGACGTTAAGCAAGGTGTCTTGAAATGTAGACAAGAGGAACTTTTTGTGGAAGGAGCGTTACCAGGGAACGTGTACAGCCTTGAGAAGATTGTTCTTCCGCCGAGATCGGAAACGATTGTGCCGGTTAGTCTTCCTCGAAATCCTGGGCAACCTCATCGTTGTGTACTCTTGGAAAGGTTAGAAAATGACCTTCCATGGAAAGTGGCTCGAACCTTGGTTAGAACCACTAACATCTCAGGAGTACGTGTGCTGAACCTTTGTGGCCAGGAACAGATTATAGAAAGAGACACACTGGTTGCTACTTGTGAGGAAGTGGATTGGTTACGTCGGTGCCAATATCTATCGACTGGGACCCCCAGCAAGGATGCACAAACGGGAGTGAGCACACTTTTAGAAGACTGTCGCAGCGTTCTCTCCCCGAATGAAATGGTCAAAGCGAAGAAGTTGTTACTCAAGTATGCCGATGTATTCTCAACAAAGGATGCTGACATAGGAAAGACTGGCTTAGTTCAACATAAAATAAACACAGGTGAAGAATTGCCTATCCGTCAGCGGCCAAGAAGATTGCCGGTAGCACGTGAAAAGGAAG